GTTTCCTTTGCTGTGCAAAAGGTTTTTAATTTGATATTGTAACTTTTTAAATTATTTATGAAACGTTATACAAGTTTTTAACGTACTCATGTCTTAAAGTGATTTATCTGTTTTATATTTAAATAGACTCAGTGTTGTTGTTTTTACATCTAGATTTTTGACCCATTTTGATTTGATCTGGGTCCAGGGTAAGAAATATGGGTCTAGATTCATTATTTTGCATGTAGATAATTGGTTTTCCCAACACCAGTTGTTACAGGGTTATCTTTCTTCCACTATATGTTTTGGACCCTTTGTCAAAAGTCAGATGGTTGAAAGTGCCTGGATTGTTTCTGTATCCTGGATTATGTCCAACTGATCCTCATGTCTGTTTTTGTTCCAGTACCATGCTGTTTTTATCACTGTTACCTTGTAATATAACTTGAAATTCAGGATTAAATTTCTTCCTGCTTTATCCTTGTTGCCTGGAAGTATCTTTGCTATTTTGAGTCTCTTTTGGTTCCATATAAATTTTGCAGTTGTTTTTTCTAGTTCTCTGAAGAATACTGTTGGTCTTTTCATAGTGTTGTAGTTTATATCTAGATGTCCCTGCACAAACTCATTCATTCACTCATAGGTAAGGCATTGGGGAATTGATTGGGACATGAGTACATCATATTCATTAGCAAATTAGTCCACAGCTGAATTTATAGCTAAAGGTAATGTCGGGTGAAGAATAGTTGGAAGAAGTAGGTCACTGAGGACGTGGTCTGGAAAAGTATGTCTCCCTGCCCCCTCACTAATCTTTATGTTTTCTTCTATTTGCTATGCCATGAGCATTTTTCTGCTGTGCCCCTTGGCCATAATGCCCTGCCTTGGTGCTAGCAAACTATGAAACGAAACCTCTTTCCTCATGCAGTTGAGGGTGTTGGGTATTGTGTCTCTGCAATGAGAAAGTAACTAAGAGGGGTCCCGCTGGCCTTTTCACACTAACTACATTACACCATGTAGACTATATGTAATGGAGTCAAAGAGCAGTGATGCAATGGCAGAACTCAAATAAATTGGGAAGAATTATCCTGGTTTGGGGTGTAGAGGTGGAAAAACTGAAAAATCCTTGAGATTTGCAATGGAGCCTCCAGCCTGAAATGTAGGTCCATTATGTGTTGTTATTCATTCTTCTAATTCAGGTGGCCAGTGTAGATGACAGGCAATGGCTTTCCAACAGTATCAATTTGGGTTTCAGGGCACAGGTGGATGTATCTGGAATTTTCTTATGACATAAAGGAGTGTGGAATTTACTGGCATTTTGCGACATCAATCCCAGGAAATGCTAAATATCTTTTTTAAATTTTATTTTAAAGAGAAAAAACAGAAAAATCAAGAAGCAAACAGACCTAAAAAATAACAGAGAACAGCAATAGCTATATAGGTTTTTGAAACAAGATAATAGGAATTTTAACAATGGTTATTATACTACATATTGTTATCTTCAAAATAGTTGCTCAGGTTACCAGATACAGGAATAAAACAACATTGGATTTCAAAAATAAGACAGAGGGGCTGGGGATTTAGCTCAGCGGCATAAGTGCCTGCCGTGCAAGCAGGCGGTCGCAAGTTCGATCCCTGGTACCGATAAAAAGGAAAAAAAAAAAAAAAGACAGAAGGAAATCCCCCACAGTTGCCACGATATACACTGCTATCCTCCAAATAGATGCCCAGACCACCAGCCCCAGGCCTGTAAAGTCAGTCAGACAAAACAAGCAGCAAGACATTCCTTTCCCCTCAGTTGCTATCATCTCACCAAGTCCTCTGAATCAGCCAGATGCTTGGGGTAGGGAGATTCTCTTCTGGTTTCCCTGCCTGCACACTGGCTGGCTCACAGATGGGAAGGTGTGGTTTGTCTTCTTGCTGAGTCTGCTCCCTGTCCTCTAGCAGAACCTGGCTCGTGGGAAGGCTCATGATTTGTCTTCTTCAAAGCTAAATATCATACAATGAACAAAGTAGTATCCTTTAAAAGTAAATAGTTTTCTGATATATTCACAAAATTGATGAGTTTTTCTGGTTTAGATTATCATATGAATCTCAAAGTTTTATCCCCTTTTCACAGGTCCAGTGGCTGGGGTATAATATTTCATCCCACTGATCAGTTACAAAAAAAGGTAATTCTTTTTTTTTTGTGTGTGTGTGTGTGTGTGTGGTATTGGGGATTGAACTCACAACTGCGTGCTTGCAAGGTAGGTGCCTATGCCACTGAGCTAAAAAGAAAGATAATTCTTACAAATCTTGTCTTTTGGGCCAGGGCTTTAGCTTAGCAGCATAAGCGCCTGCCTCACAAGCGTGAGGTCATGAGTTCGGTCCCTGGTACCAAAGTCTTTCTGGTACCAAAGTCTTTTTAACATTCCTTGGTCCTCCTGTATTTCATAAAATTCCATGTCAATAAACTATGAGGGGTTCCCCAGCCACAAAAATCTCAGCATGATACAAAGCACAGAATTTTCACTTAAGAAATTTCAAGATTCTTTGAAAATCTTATATCAAAATTTATAAACTATGAACAAGTAATGATTATGTTACATTCTATGTGTGTTCACATAGTTCCTCTGGTACAACAGGCTGTGGAGAATACCCACAATAAATTTATCCCTAAATTCATAAAAAAGTCACGTATTACTGTGACAAAATTTCAAATAAACAGTTAAATAGAGGAATGATATTGAGTCTCCAGAAGATTAAAATCTAGGGCAGTTACACTTCTTGAAAGGGAGAAAAATTTATATGATGCTTAGGAGTTGATAAAAGATAAAAATTATTGCATCTATAGTTTAGTGAGAGGGTCAAGAGATTGTTCTAAAAGGTAAATAGAGTATGTAAAATCTAATCACAGAACATCTTGTGACAATACTCATCTGAAACAGTGAAAAAATTCACACTTGATTACATTTTGTCATACAGAAATAAATTTTGTGGCATCTTTGTTTTTCAATAAGTAATAGTTCTTACATGTTTTAAATCCTATAAAGAACCTTAGAATTACCTTTTTCTTCATTGATAAGCACATAAGGAAAGCAAAGACTTTCTTGGTTTATGCTGAAAGACTTGAGTTGGGTATACTGATGTCACATAACTCATCAGTGTTGGTAAAGCAGATAAATAAACTGTAGTAGGGAGTATCTTAAGTCTGGTGCCTAGAAGCTGAAATATATCTTGAACCTGACGAGTGAGGACCATGATCATCCCCTTGAACCCTCCCGGGCTGCAAACCTCTTGGTTGCCTCTAGTACTCAAAACAGCTCCAGTTGGAGTGTTGAGAGCCACAGAGCAAAGAAAAGTAGGTGACAAATGTGCACATTGTATTGGAGTTTTGTCTTTCCTGAGGTTTTTACTGTTTACCATGAACTTTTCCATGGAAAGTGGTTTTGATATGCAAAGAATTGCTGGAGTCAAACTGAAATACATTTATATGAAGAAAACCTATGAAGAGCAGTCACAGTGAAAATACATTTATATACTCTTCTAAAGAAAAGGTTAATGCATTTGGCATTTTTTTCAGACACTCACTATTTATTAGGTTCTTAATACAGGTACAAAATCCGAGACATACACAATTCAAGATTAAAAGTTTTTATTTTAGCTCATGGTTCCAGAGATTTAAATTGGTTGCTATTGGACTCCAAAGGAGGAATATCATGGTGGAACAAAGTGAAGAAACAGCAAGTACAGAGCGTAACTGGCACCAGGGAAGGGGGAGGGAGAAGATATGGTCCACAATGTCACACTACACGACTCAACCCAACATATCAGAAGTGAGCTTTACTGATATCCTACTCACCGTTCATGCCAAGCTATATATTAATCAAGAGTATCGGCTGGGTGTGGTGGTACACTCCTGTAATCCCAGCACTCGTGAGGTTTAGGCAGGAGGATCATTGTGAGTTTGAGACCAGGCTGGCTTACAAAGTGAGCTCAAGGCCAGCCTGAATTGCATAGTGAGACCTTGTCTCAAAAAAAAAGTATCACATGACTCAATATTTCCCTTCTAAGAATACTAATGTGTTGAAAAATAATTTCACCTTGTGAAGCAAGAACTACAGAACACAAGCGGCTTACAGTCTGAAATCCTCAGGTTTCCTTTCCTCAACACCAGGAAATGAATTTAGAAATTATAATCTTTTTCTGTTTGTTTTTGGTACAGGGAATTGAACTCAGGACCTTGTGTTTGTAAGGCAGGCACTGTGCCACTGAGCAATATCTCCAACCTTCTTATTTTAAAATGAGTAAATCAGGCCTGGCGCATGTGGTGGCAGTAATACCAGCACTCGGGAGGCTGAGGCAGGAGGACTGCTGCAAGTTCAAAGCCAGCCTGAGTTACAAAGTGAGTTCGAAGCTAACCTCAACTGCGTAGTAAAACCCTATCTGAAAAAGACAAATAAATAAAATGAGTAAAGTGGGAGATACAATGTGAGAAAGTTTGTCTATGAAGTCAACTACCTTATTGTATATTTTTAAACTTTCACATCAGTCCTTCCTTCCATTTCATTACGTTCTGGCCTTCCTGAATTCATGGCATTCTCTTACCGTGATTTCTCCGTTGTGTATTAACTCTGGGAACTGTCTTAGCATATGTGTGATCCCACTTTAAGGGGCGACACAGGAAGAAATCGCTAAGCCCAGTATGAAGGCAAGTGTAGCTGGGAGTGGTGGTGCATGCTTGTAAACTCAGCACTAAGTAGGCTTAATGCAGGAAAATAGTAGTGGGGTCAAGGCCACATGAGACCCACTCAAACAAACAAAAATGACAATGGCAAGCTGTGTAATGCCAGGAGTAAACTCTGCTTAAATGCAGCTACGAAAGGCTACATTCTGGAAGCCTCTCGTTTACAATCTACCATTTCAGCTCCACTCACACTTTGGAATTTGTTTCTGTTTTCACTGTTCAGTTGTCACAGATCGGAAGGCAGGTAATGGAGTGGCAGCAAATCCGCGTTTAAAACGCAGGCTGTGTGAACTGTCCAATCAGGTGGGCCAAGGGAGGCGGGCTCTGTTTCCAGGCACCAAAGCTCAGATCCTGCGCATTGCTGGGAGCCACCTCACCTAGATAGAGCGGCTTGCTTTAGGATTCCTACTGGCTGCAGTCTGCACTGGAACTATCCTTGAAGACCCTCGAGCCACGCAATGGTGATAGTGTGGGACGGCTGCCCTGCGATGGGATGGAATGGGAGGCGATGTGGGTGAGACCAACCCGGAAGTGGTAGGACCGGCAATGGCGGACGGAGCCTCCCTGCATGCTCCAGATTCTGAGTTCTTCCTGGTCTCTAGTCGTGTGTGCCCTCTGTTCCTCCTGCCTTGGTTAAGGCCTACCCATTTTGGGTATAGAGCACCACATCTCTCCAGGCCACCCCGCCAGTCTAGAGTGCAGTCTCAGGCAGCCGCAGCGCACAGCCAGACACCTCTACCGGAGTGCGGAGAGGGGGAATTGGGGGAGGGGGGAAGAACCAAAGTCGAGTGAGAGCAGGAGCTAGAGGAGCTGTGGTGTGCTGCTTTCCTGATTTGATCTTTCCTACCAGCAGACGTAATGAGTCTCAGTTTTATAAATGTCTGTGGTACGGGGTCATGAGGAGGGTAAATTCTTACATTTCCAGTATGTCTCCACGTTGCCACACTCATGATGGGTGATGGTAAATAACATGAGAATCCAGAGACAGGATTAACATTGTATAACTCGGTGATAAAACGCTTACCATTCATGGAATAAACTCCTGTGTTGCATACGCAGAAGTGCAGATCATCTAAATGTGATTGGGAAGGGATTTCTCCAGGTTATAAAAGATTGCCAGATGTTTTTGATGTTTTTGTTGCACAGAGGGTTAAACTCAGGGCTTTTGCTCTGAATTACATTCCTCATGCGTTTTAATATTTTGTTTTTAAATGTGAGTCGTCGTGTCACAGAGTTGTCCAGGTTGCAGTGAACTGCTGATCTGCAGCTCTTATAGTTCTAAGATGACAGATGTATGCCACCATGACTAGCTAAGATGGGGGTTCTTTAATTACCACTATTAAGTAGGATTACAGTGCTTGATTAAATGAAACCGGTTAGGTTTAAGGTTGTGCCCAACTTTCATCCTAGCAACTTGGCACACTCAGGCAGGAGGATTCAGCTCTGAAGCCATCCAGCATAATGAAGCAAAACCCAAATCAAAATGAAGTAGAAGTACTGGGGTTGCCTCCAATCTAAAATAACTTGTATACCAGGCACAAGGCCCTGAATTTTAATCTTCAGCACTGAAGAGTAAAAAGTAGTGATTAGTATTCAGTGGAACATTTGCTTTGATTTTTGAAATTTATTCTGTTATACACTTTTATTCTGTAATGCAGTTTATTCTGTTTGCAATATATGGTGCAACACTTGTTCAAGATCCTGGGCATCAGCTGTGAGTCACTGCCCTGTCAGTGACAGAACTTCCGGTGAAAACAATCAAAGTGCTCCACCAGACAATATGAAATTTATCAGGTAGTTTCCTGCATTGAGCACTGTATTAATTCGGTTCTTCTGAGGAACTGAACTGGGACACATATGAGCAGTGAATGGGATAAAGGAGCACTTCTCTGAATTTTGTTTTCCATTTTTGGTTTGATTTGGTTTGTTTTCATTTGGTTATTTATTTATTTATTTATTTTGTTTTATAAAGTGGTGCACCTGCCCAGCTTGCATTACCTGGACGAGGAAATAGGATGGAAATTGTCAATAAGCAGACACAGGACTGAGCAGTATAACCACAAGACACCAAGCATGTTCAATGCTGAAGAGAAAACACTTCCCTTATTACTAATTTATGCTGATTCTGGGAACATGTTTCCAACTGCCTTAATCTTGGAGAAAATAGTTACCTTATATTCTGCCCTTTCTTGTTTTCCCACTGCCTCTGGCATTCCCTTAATGGGCCGAAGTCATGTCTGTCTAGCACCTGTCACATCCAAATCTTGGGACTGTTTTTTCTTTGTAATGACTTAAAATCTCTGGGGAAAGAAGTTACCATGAGCCTTTGCTGTGTGCTTTGTATGTGGCTGGAGCTGCAATCTCTGAATTCCCTTGAGTTCTCATCAACTGCCCACACTTTATGGACAACTACCTCACGTTGGTGTTTTTGAGAAAACGGTGGGAACGGCCAGTGGAGAAGGGCCCAGCTGAGATAAAGCACAGAGCTTCTGGTCAAGCCACCCCTTAATCTGGCTTTACATTCACAGTGTGTCGTAAGCACACCAAGAAGTGGATCCTTTTCTGATTTGCACTTTAGTGGCATCAAAAAGGCAGCCTAAATAGGAGGGCCAAAAGAAAGAGTGTTCAAGTATAGCCCAGGAGTAATTTAGAAAGATAAAAACAGTAACGAGATTTCTCTTCAGCAAAGAATATTCCTGATGAAATTAACCTGCAGATGAAAAACTGCAGAAGATACTTTCATTCATCTTGGATTTGGGGTACAAAGGTAGATGGTAGTTCTCAGGGTCTTTTTTGGCCTCAGGATGGCACATCATTCAGGAGCTTTTGGGCTCATTGACCCTGCTAAATCAGAGAATTTCAATCACTGGTGATGTCGTTCTTCAGAAAACATGTGGATGTAACATAACATCTTATTTGCCTTTTCCACAGTTGTGAGAAAGCAGCTTTTCAAGTAAACATTCTTTCTTCCCTAGAAATAGGTTTGAGAATATACCAGTTGAGGAGAATGTTTGCTAGCATACAGTGTATATCCATTTAAAATCTAATGCACACTGTCCATACAACCACCACCAACAGGCAACGATTTCTAATTCTTTTTACCAGTACCAGAGTATTCTTACCTTGGTGAATTTTATGGATATGAATTGAGATTCATTTCTATTTTTTGGCCTTTTTTTTTTTTTTTTTTTTTTTTTTTTTTGGAGTTTTTCCTTTTTATCAGTACTGGGGATCAAACTCACGACTGCCTGCTTGCAAGGCAAGTGCTTATGCCGCTGAGCTAAACCCCTAGCCCCTTTTTGTCTTTTTTGTATATCCTTGCTCTTATATCATTTTTCTCTTTCTCTTTCCTTTAAAGCCCATCTGTAAATTGTGTGCTGATATGTTTATCTATGTAGTGAGGATACTTTTTAATTAAATCTGCATATATTTGTTACTTGTGGAGAATGAAAGTATCTTCTGCAGTTTTTCATCTGCAGGTTAATTTCATCAGGAATATTCTTTGCTGAATAGAAGTCTATTACTCTTTTTATCTATTCAAAGTCACCTTAACATTGTGGTTTTACAAATTTATATCTGAAGTTTTCCCCACTCCTAGATCAGAAATTACTTTCTTATATTTATCTGCCTGAAGTGCATCTTTGAATGTTTGTAATGCAAAAATCAGATTTACTTGGCCCATAAAATATACAGTTTACAACCGCAAATAGATGATTTTTTAAAAATGAATGATTAATTACTTCTTCCTCTTGATTTTTACTGTCAGTCTTAGTAAATCTTCATTTAGAAGAAAGGAAAAGTATTTTTTGATCTTTCTTACAAATTCAACATGTCTGCATGTTGCCCGACGTTCAGATTTTAATGACTGTGTAACCCTATAATCCCCTTCTCATCTTTATTTTTATGTGAGATTTGAAAATAATCTCCTGCCCTCTTTTTCAGAAGGGATTATAGGGATTACATTTATGTTGATTCACTAGTATTATAAATATAGTAGTATTAAGAATACTCTGTGCTCTGAAGTATTTATAGCATATCACATCATCAAGTCTGCATCTATAAATTACTCTCTACCTACGTAGAACATCTCCAATTGTTTCTTTTGGTTTTTGGAAACAAGGTCTTGCTCTGTAATTTAGGTGGACCCTGAACTCAGGCTGACCTTGATTTTGCGGTAATCTCCCTGCCTTAGTCTTCCATGTGCCAACATGTGTAGCTACCAAATTTTAATTATGTGTAGTTTTTTAATGTGTTGCTGAGTTTTAAAGATTTTATTAGTAATATTTTCTAGAGATGGGTATATAAATGTTTGTGAGGTATGCATATTTAAAAAATAAAGGAATAGAATATTTGCAATATGTGACAAGGATTTTCTTCCATAATACAAAATAGGGGCATAAATTGAGAGAAAAATCAGAGTAAAACATTCATTATCAACTTTCACAGCTGACATTAAAAGACTTTGCAAAAATTGATACTTCAGATTTCTAATTAAATGTAATTTTAAAATGAAGTGGTTGCTTCCCCAAAATGTTCATCATATTCACATTATAGGTATATTCTTGAACTTTTGATTCTTGAACTTTGATTCTATGAATAGCAAAACATTTTTTTTGTCTTTTAATTTCTAGTAAATTAAAAAGTGTTTCACAAACAAATCTAAACAAAGACCTTTTGGTTTCTCTATAGTTACTGAGTGTATACTGACCTTGAGAAAATGATTTGAGAGCTGGACAGTATGTGTTCTGATCAGGAATCACTTATCTTTATTGTATTGGTATAATTTTATGTTTTTAGTATGCAGTAAAACTATGATAAACATTATAATTTTTCCAGGAGATCTTCTCTGACAAGATAGGTATTCTTGTTCTATAATATTACATCTTGCTAATTTTGTCATTTATGGATAATGATTTTGGCTCCTCCATTTCAATCGTTATATCACTTATTTGTCTTTCTTGCCTTATAGTAGCAAACATGAATTTTGTTTTCATGTGACGGAACAGTGCAGAAAGTGAAATTCCTTGATTGATTTCTTGTCCTAAGATAATTCATGTAAAATATCTCCATTCAGTGTCCCACATGTTAGTTTTATGGTATACATGTTTTATCTAGTTGTTGATCTCTTTTGATTTTTATAGAATTAGAAATTTTTAAGAAATAATTAATAGAAGTTAAAATTTTTAACATATATTTATGCCAAGATTCAGATAGTTATATTAGGTTATTCTTTTGTTATCTGGGTTGCTGATGATGAAACATCCTTACCTTTGACAAATAAAGACAATTTTTACTTTTACTTATCCTAAAGTGTGTGTATGCACACACATGCATTTATTACATCAGATTGAATCTAGGGCTTCACACAGCATAGAAATCCGTACTACATTTAGCTGTGTGCCAAGATAAAAAACTATTTTCTGATAAATCCTTACATTTAACTAGATAATAGATTTGAAAACCTAGAAGCATAGGTATAATGATTCTATAATTATCTTTTCTGGTAAATGTGTTGCTTGGATTTAGAGGAAGATTACATTAACTTAACAAAATTACCTACAGATATTTCCTAACTTTTTTTTTTTTAATTACAGACATGTAAGACCATGCCCAACTAAACATATCATTTTTTAGGATAATGGTTGCATTACCATATGTTTTGTATGCATAACAAGTATATTCATCATGGGAAATTCATCATATTACACCTTGATCAGTATCTTAAAGTTTCATTGAAACCTTTGTAATTCCACTGAGGTGAATTTACAAAGGGAAGTTTTTGATGATCATTTCAGTTTCTTGCCATCTTGTTGATTCTCCAGCATTCTTCTTCGTATACCATGTCTGAAATTGTTATTTCTAAGAATTTCTGTATCTACTATCTAAAGTTCATTAAATGACAATTTAATATACTTTTTATTTTTCTTATAATATCCTTGATTAGCTAGGTGCAGGGGTATGCATATGTCATTCCAGCTGCTGATATATAACAGGATAAAAATTTGATGGCCAGTGTGAGTCACTTAGTGACCCTGTTTTAGAAATTAAAATATGCATAGTCTTTGTAAATATTTCTCATTTTCCATTGTGCTTTTGCTTTTAGCCTTTTCTAGTATGATTGCAGTTTTATTAGTGGTTGTAGTGTACTCTTGAAGTGTTTTGCTAAATATATTTCTCAAAACTCACATATTTAACTTGAAAGATTATTTTAAACTTTGAGCATATACTTAAATTATCACCTAATTCTAAATATTTCTAAGCCTATTTCATGACTTATTTTGAAAACAAAAGATTTTTAAAGAAGGAATTTTGCACCAAAATTACGTGGGTAGACTGGGAATATAAGTTATAAATTGTAGAGCACCTACCTAAGGTAACTGTGTTTCTTGATTTCCTTCCCCCACCTTACACTGACAAAAGAAAGCATGTGGAATTGGTAAAGCTAGTCATTCTTCACCATTTCTGTTTTTTCTTTATTATGATCAAGATGATATTTATACTTTGTAATTTGGAGAAATTTTTGTGTATTCTGATAGAATTTTTGTAAAATGTGTCTTTTGTTTGGAAACACTTATTCTCTGTTTTAACAGTTTACATGTATATAATATCTAGTGGATGAATAGTATTAAGTGAATTAGAATGAATTAAAATTCCTTTGCTTACTACTAACCAAATCAAAGGAGGGTAAAAGGCAAAAGGATATATTCAAATCCCAAAAGAGATGGAGGAGCCTATTTGCCTCAAATCACCATCTCTCCATTTACAGGTAAGCAAGGGTCTTTTATAGTAATAAACAGAGAGGCGGATGAGCACAGAGAAATAATAAAACCTTCATACTTGCTTTGTTATTTTTAGCTATTTTTAGCCTGTTGTCCCCTTTCCTGTGAAAAGGAAATGGCTCAACACTTCGTAGTGTCAGCATCTGTGTATTTTGCTGTTTATCTGAAGAGAGAGCTGTTATGCCTTTGGCCTCGGGAAACCGCTTATCACTAAAGAAAAAAATCATAACTTGTAAGATGTATTTGGCAATGCTGGTTACCATTTCATCGGTGCTACAGCCTCAGTTTTCGTCTTTATGTCTTCATTTTGTTTTGGATCTGAGCAGGTACAACCAAGATGCTTGTTCAGAAAGGAATAATCATCTTTTTCTCAGTTTATCCTCTCTGATTTCTTGATTTTTGTGTGGCAACTCCAGCCAATTCCCTTTTACTGTACTTGATGAAACACCATACACTGCAGGGGACTATTCCCATCATAGATAGTACTGTCTGTAGTGAGTAAAGATCACACATACCCTGAACTTCTTAGCTGCTTTCTCCATCCATAAAATTGTGGTCAGTGTGATTATCAATGTTTGACCACCTGAGGTGCCTCCAGTTTGTATCACCTGATGCCCTGGAGGAATATATTTTTCTTCATTGTTTGTGACACTCTTGTTGATGGTTATGGATTAAGTATACTGTGACCCTTATTTCTATGCCTTTGTGTTAAAATATGCTAATTAGCCCTTGTGATTGTGTCTGTAGACTTTTGAAAAGTCTGACATACAAGATCAACAGTCCTTTCATATTCTTCCTCAGGAACAAGAATCAGAAAAACAAAAGAAAGAAAAACCTTCCCCATAACACACTCACTCAGAAGTTTTCTGGTTAAGGATATCCCCACTCTCTCACGCAATCGTTCTGTTTGCTTGCTTGCTTGCTTGCTTGCCAGCTTGCTTTCATTCTTTCTTTCTTTCAACACGGTTTCACTGTGTAGTTCAGGCTCGCTTTAAACCATGAACTCACTGTAACCCAGGCTGGCCTTAAACTTGTAGCTATCCTCCTGCCTCGACTTCCCAAGTGCTGGGATTACTAGTGTGCACCACCAGGCGCGGCTGTGTTCGTTTTCCTTCCCTGATTCCTTTTCTCATTCCTTCTCTCCTTCCCTTCTTTCTTCTTTTTCATTCTCTTTTTCTTTCAACCTTTGTTTCTCTTTGCTTTCATTTCTTGCTCACATACACCTGCTGTCCTTCTTTTTTTTCTTTTACTTTCCTGCCCTGTTCATTATTACTTGCATTGTGACCAGCTCTCCAAACTCTTTGAACATTTATAATCACCTAAATATTTTATTTTCTGCAGATTTTACTAAGATGCAATTTACTTAGCATTTGACTCATTCATTTCAAAATACTGTTAATTTAGAATATATTTGGAATCAATAGTCAATTTAGAATATTTTGTTAGGCTTCTAAAAAAATTATGCTGCCTCTTTTACTGATTTCTTTACTTTTCCCAGGCTCTGTGAATTACAAATTTACTGTCCACTTGGTAGAATTTTATATTCTGCCCATTTTATATAAGTGAATTCATATTTTCTGAGTTTTTTGTCATGACATTTGAAAGTTATTCTACATTGCAGCATTTATTACAAGCTCATTTTTCTTTATGGATGAATGACATTTTTCATGAATACATTGGAATTATTCATTAGTTGATGGACACTGGAAGCATTCATACCTTTTAGATTTAATCGATACTAAGCTTTAAACATTCAGGTATGAACTTTTGTGAACATGTGTTTTCATATCTTTTGTTCATATGCCTAGAAGAAAATATGTGGAAGCTATGAAAACTGTTATAATTGTATACTGATTTTTTCCATTCAAAATTCAGTAAGATATACTAAATCTAATTCCCAGTAAGATATACTAAACTATATCTGAGAAAATATGCACAGCAGGGGCACTTAAAATGCAAACAGAAATAGATGAGTTTTCTTTTTGGTATCCCCTGGTTGGATAATGGAATTAGAAGACAGACAAGAGCACATACATGCATACTTCGTCTCTTTCCCTGTGATGACCTGGGTGAAACCAAGACTATTAACATAGACACCAATATCAGTTGTAAATTTTCCACCTTGGCCCAAAACTGTGACCTCCTTTCTTTATTTTTTTACTGTGAAGTATTTTGCTGAAAAACAGAAATCTACTGAGAAAACAGCTGTATAGTACATTATTACAGAAACTGAAAGGGTATGTTCAACATGACTGCCTGGTCATCTTTTCGGTCTTTTTATTAGTACATGTTCGCAATACATAATAATTGCGTATATTGTGGGCAGTCGGTACATGTGCTTTATTCATTTTTTAATCACTGCACTTCCCCTCCCTCTCCCCTCACTCCATTCCTGGTTCCCTTTCTTTTTGCAAAACATTAATCTTCCTGTGAGGTTTTTCCAAAGCCTCAGAACAGTTTTTTGTTTTTTTTTTTTTTGTTTTGTTTTGTTTTGTTTTTGTTTTGTTTTTTTTACCATTTATTTTTCATTGTAACAAAAAGAGAAACCACAGTGTAATGAAAGTAATCAGGGAACTGGACCCAGGCCGAGGCCAGAGAAAGCTGGATTTGAAAATGTACACAGGGATTAACCAGCAGGGGTAGAAATGGGGTGCACAGCTCACGGGCAGGACTGCTGCAAAGCAAACGCCAAAGGCAGGAAGGAGTGTAAATGGTATTTTTGAGAAAGGAAGAGAAGGTATGTGAATGGGAGGCAGAGAAGGAGGCAAAGGGCTGGGTGTGAGCAGAAATCCAATACTCCACCTTAGGCTACAGAGCCTCCATTGAAAGCAGCCCCAGGAGGCTCAGAGTGACCCTGCGCACACTGCCCTGCCTGAGAGCTTCAGCGAGTAGCAGAGGAAGAAGCTGCCCACTGGGCTTCCAGAACCAAAGAAGCCTGGAACACAGCAATCAGGCCTGGATTTCTACATGAAATCTCTGGATTTTTTTTTTTTAATTTTATTTAAGGAGAAAAAGAAAAAAAAAAAAGCAGAGAAAGGGTACAAGTTATACAGATTTACAGAAAAAAAATAAACAGTAGGAAATCACTAGTTAATGGATTACATTTTGTCATCTCAGAAACAATTGTTCAAGTTACAAAATTAAAGCTTATAAAGTGGACATTCCAACAGTGAGACTACAAACAGTTCTGTTCAATGATCCAACAAAACTCAGTAATATCATTATCTTATACACTTAAATATACATGCAGTTATATCGTTTAGAGCACTTTCTTTTCCTCTCTTTTGGACAATGACAATTACACATTTTGGGTTTTGTTGCTCCCACAGTTCTTATTACTTTTTTGAAAGAGAGTAGAACCAAATGTGATATAACAGAACAGTCAGTCAAATCAAAAGGGTGGACGTAATAGATAATGTAAAAGCATAATACTAGGTGATCAACAATGGTTACCATAATGCCTCCCGCTATCTCTAATAGAATTGCCTATATCATTAGTTATAATTGAACAAAACAGTAAAGAACAAAACCAAAACATTGGAGACATTATAGGCGAGAATGGGTGTCATAATGAATCCTACTATCTTCACAGCTGTTGCCTAAACTTTCGAACCTGGTACTATCGAGCAAAACAGAATAGAGGAACATCAGTCAAAACAAGATGGTGAGAGCAATACAGGGCTTTAAATCAAGATAATGGAAAGTCAAAGTGGGTTACTATAATATATCCTGCTATTTTTAATTTATTTTTCCCTTAATTAAAAGGATAAAAAAAGTAAATAATAAAATGGAGATTGAGATAAAAGAGGGCATAACAGCAAAACAGCGCAGATCAAAACATAACCATTTAAGCAAAATAGTGTTTCACACAAGATTATCCCGCCATAAAAGTAGTTACCATATTGTCTCTTTCCTTGAAATCTTTGAGCATAACTTCGTATACTGTAGCATCAAATATATCAAAACAATGTAAAACCATTCAAGAGAATGACAGTATTACAGGGTATTTAGAATCAACTAACAGAAAATAAACAATGGTTTCTGTATAATCTCCTTGTCTATAAAAGGTTTTGCTTATAGTATCATATATAATAAAATCCAATAAGATACCACCTGTTTAGACCAATGGAGACAGAAGAACAAAAGCTTGATGAGACTTCAAAACAAGATGATACTAAATCAGTATTACCTCTTAAGACATCATTTTCTCCAAAATAGCTGTTCCTATCATCCAATTTTCTCTGCCTCATTTCTGTTGAGCTCTTTTTCTGTCATTAGTTGTGAGTTTGTCTTCTTCATTTTGTTTTCTGCTCCATTAATTGTGACCTCTCTGCCGCTACTTCTGGATTCTTTGTATTTTTCTTTTTTAGAATATCTTGCAGTATTCTCTGTAGAGTTGAATTGGTGGTTGCGTATTCCCCTAGTTCCTCTTTATCCTGGAAGCTCCTTGTTTTTCCATCCATTTCCAGGGATAGTTGTGCAGGATATATCAATCTTGGCTGGAGATCATTATCTTTCAAAGCTTGAATTATTTCCCCCCACGCTCTTCGTGATTTGGTTTGTGCAGAGAAGTCTGCTGTAATTCTGATGGGTGTTCCCTTGTAAGTGATCTGTTTCTTGTCTCTGACGGCTGTTAGTATTCTGTTCTTGTATTGGATTTCTGGAATTTTAATTATTATATGCCTGGGTGTTGCTCTGTTTGGGTTGTAGGTGGCTGGGGTCCTGTATGCTTCATACAATTGAGTATCTTTATCTTTTGCTAAATTAGGAAAATTCTCCTGGATCATTTCTGTGAGTAGCTTTTGTAGTTCATTTGTTTGTGTCCCTACTTCTTCTTTTATGTTCTTAATTCTTAAGTTATAGACCCTCTTATCATCTTCTGGTCTTTGTATTATTGCTGTTTGTTTCTTTGTTATTTTTAAGAAGTTTTTCATTTCATGCTCCCATATTACACATCTACCCTCTAGTTCAGATAATCTGTCCTTAGTTTCTTTCAAGCTGTTATGCCAGTTTTCAATAGACTTTTTAGTCTCCTGGTATTCTCTTTGAACCTGCTTCACATATTCTATGCTTTCTCTATTTTCTCCATTAAACAATTCTCCCCTCTTTTTCTGTTCTTCCATTCCACCATCTGTTTTTTCTTGGGCGGTGCTTAGCATTTCTCTAACTATTCTGCTTATGTCTAGCTTCAGGTCATTAATAACTTCATTCCTGAACTTGTCTATGAGGCTCTCGAGATAGCACTTTATGTCTATTGGTGCTGTGTCTGCTGTTGCCTCTTTCTCAGGATTAGGGGCCGAGGACCCTTTCTTGTTGCTGCCTCTTCCCATATTCTTTGTTCCTTATATATGCAAGCATATATAGAAGGCCCAACTTCCTTCCCTGTCAGCCACAGTCTGATTGAATTGTGCCGGCTAGGTGTTCCCGCCCACCGCAGCGCACCAGGGAGTTACAGACCATACAGCCTATGCAGGGCCCACCCCTCCAGGTCACCTTCAGGAGCTGGGCCCTGAGCTGTGCTAGCCTATTGGGTCTCAGCCAGAAGTGTCACGTGGGCTAGGCACTGCTCACCAATCCCGCTTGAGAGGCGGATTGGTGACTGAAGTCACTGCAGTGCCCTGTTCCCGCAAGTCTGCCCGGTCCCAGAATGTCCTCTGTTGGAGTCTCCCAGACCATGGGGAAGAGACCCAGTTTTGCCTCACTCACCGGAGGTGGATGCACGGCTCCCTGCCCGTCCTGCTTTCAACTCCATTCACCGATTCCCATTCTCAGAGCTTCCGTGCGTCTCTCTCCCTGCCGAGCCGATGCAGATGCAGCCGCCGCTGCCGCGCAGCAGGAAACCCAAATCGCAGCTTCCAATGGCGCGGGCTCCAGCTTCCATGCTCAGGCTTTATCTGTTCCTGGTATAGCACCAGGATTGCATTCCCAGTTGGTTTCTCTCAGCCCAGTTCGTTCTTGGATCACCGGGGCATATCTCCTCTTGCTTATGATTCCTTACTCAGCACCATTCCTGAATTCTAAGCTGGGTGTTTCAGAGAGCTTCCGTAGCTGCTGCTATCTGTCTGCCATGTTCTCCCGGAAGTCCCTCAGAACAGTTTTTATTGGGTGCCTTTCTGGTTATTGTCTTGTTAATGGCATTTTACTGTGATATCACAAAGGTTTGCCTGATAACTAGTGACAAATATAGTTTTAGGAGCTTAAAATAAGTGTCTTTATCCTTTAAAAAAATGCATTTTTTAGTTACATTTTGAAAATGAAGAAACATACAAGGTGTGATGTTGGTTCACTAACTTCATTTTTAATTAGTAAGAAGGAAAATGTGCAAAATAAACTTAAAAATTTTGAAATGAGTGAGGATTAAAAGCAAAGATTTCTGCAAGTGACTGAAGAAGCTAGTGTATTTCAGGTAGTGGAAAGACATGGGTGGAAACAGTCAAATTTGGGTCCACATCAGTACAGTGACACAGCAGGGCAATTACTGTGTCCTTAAGGTATGATGAGGAAATACCAGTGTGAGACAGTGAGCAGAATCCTGGTGAGTTTGTTCTAACTGGCTGTCATCATACTGTGAGCTGAAGTAAACCCAATGTCTGTAATTTACTGAGTGTGAACAACTGTGTTTAGAAAAACAAACATGGGAAGAGTATTCAGGATCGAACATAGAACATTGACTCTGACCTACAGTCAGTCCTTTTTTATTTTTATTATTATTTGTTTTAATTCTGACACTGGATGTCACTATCATAGAGGTTACAAGATGACTCTGAATGTCTTGCCTCTGCCTCCCAGAGTGCTATGGTTACAGATGTGGATCATCAAACCCAGCTTTTGTAGGAGTTTTCTAATCACTTCTGTTTAAGATCAGATGCTTTGTTCCACTAAGCATCATCAATTGTTGTCATTTCCAAAAGTTGCTATTTTTGTCCCTCAAAATGTGTGAAGGATAGTTTGGAATACATCCCTGGATTCTTCCTGCTTTAGATATGTATCTGTAAATTTGAGATTAGTTCTGTCTGTAAGATAATTTTTTTTAAATATGGACCTTTCCCCATTTTCTAGAACAGAGACTCTAAAACTCATATTATCCTGAAGAGTACAAATGTCTGTGTCTTTTTATCATAACTTTGGGGTAATGTCTTTATTTTAGTTACTGGAGTGGCTCAATATACCATGCCTAATTACTTTAGGATGGTGATTCATGAGGAAACACATCTCTTGCTTTGGACTAGAATCTGCACTTGAAGCATTGCAGTAAAACTGGGTAGTGAATTTCTCAGAATTGTGGTAAAGCTGAGTGATGTGAGTTTTAAATTTTGTGCCCATTATTTACTGATAGACCACTGCATGGTGGTCAGACAACAACACATATTTGGATTCAGAAAAGAAAGTCAACTTTCACATGACTGTAAGTGTTGGTCTCTGTTCAAAATTCAGCCTGTGAACCGAGAAAATTTTGCCTGGGAAGATGGCTGTGTAGGGCATGGAGAGGTCATGGTTTTAAATCTTCTGGCTTCTCAGGCTTCCCTTAATAACCACTTGGGAGTGAGCCTTCTGCCTCCCCTCCCCGGACCTCATGGGTACAAAGAAAGTCATATGTAAGTTCAGGAAAGTTCTGATCTTCTGACTATGGGTTCGCTTGTGATGGTGAAGCAGGCTTCTTCCCTGACTTGCTTTCCTTTTGCTTCTTTTGCAGCAAGATATTTGTATAAAATGGAAGTTACTTCAAGGATGTTGTATAAATGGAAGTTACCTCCCATAATGTAATACAAGACTATGATTTTCTTGGGAGCTGAACAGAGAGAATTACTACATCTAAAGAATCAAAGAATAATTTAGAAGTAAATTATGTCTTATACTGTTTTGATTGGCTTTATTCTGTTTTATTTTGATTGGTTTTATTCTCTTTAAAAAAGAAAATTTAAAAAAAATTTCAAAAATTATGTTTTATATTTAACTTAATAGAGTATTTAAAAATCCATAAAATAGAGGTGTAGATTAATAAATCAACTCTTAATAATTCCAGTCTATTTCTCTGAATTCATCTCTAAGATTGGACACGGGAAGCTTTCTTGCACCCTCTTGAAAGCTTTACCATTACTTGGTTTAAACTCCTGGCAGTGTTGAATGAGCAAATGATTGAGGTTTGGATGTGTTGCAGTCATATTCTCTGAACATGATCTGTGTTGGTAACTATTACTGGTAATTTGGAGAAGACGGTGTACTCTGTAGTTATTAGATGAAGTATCATGCAATATCCAGTGAGCCCACTTGACTGACGGGTTCATTTTAACTATACAATTATAGATTTCTTGACCTGTCAGGTTCTCATGAAGATGTTTTGAAATCTTCAGAAACAGCTTTGGATCTGTGATTTTCCTTCAGTTTTATATTTTGGCCCCATGTCATTTGAAGCACTGTTCAGTGGAATAAACATAAACAACTGTTAATTTTTGTTGGAAAACAATCTTCTGTAGCATTATATGATACTTGTAATCCTTATTTTCTTTGAGGCACAACTCAAATAGTGTAACATAAATAGAACTTCATCAGGTTTTGTTGAATCAGTGCAATGTATCTCCTTGTATAATTTTTTAGCCTATGTTTTAAGATTATCTTTCATTTTTTTAAATATTTGGATACATTTTAGCAGACAAATGGAAATTCATTTATAATTTAATCCTTCATATTTTGCAGCATTTGCACATCGTCAGATGTTGAAATGAATCTGACAGATTACCTCATATAAACTTTTTTGTATTAAAAACACTTCCAACTGAATGCTGTATTAACATATCAGAGTAAATTGCAATGTTCCTAACTACATTCACAGTATATTAAATGTACTGACCTTGTTTTCTATGCTCAAATAAAGTTCTAAATTTTTAAAGCACATCCATCACTTCCATATAAAATGTATCTTTTCACAGAGAATTAAAGGTAGATCTTGTTTTCTTATCTATACTCACATTCTCTTTTACTTGCTTCTGCAAATAACTAGTAAGTTAAGAACATATGATAATAGCTTATAAATTTTATTTGGTTTAGTTCTGGTTATAATATTGTAGTTTCTTCTCCCTGTTTAATTGGGAATTTTACATAATTCCATTTTCTGTTGTTGATTATGATATCTGGTAGGCTTGTATACCAATTTTTTTCCTGATTTTTCAGTGTTACAAATATCTACTCACAAATTATCTACCTCACATTGAAATAACACTGTGGTTTCAGAGACATTCATGCTCCATAGCATATCGCAAGTGCTTCCCATGCCATGAACAATGTGTGCGCCTCATTCTACATGTCAGCATGTCTAACAACAAGGTGACTGTTGGTGTTATCCATTTAAACATAGTTTCTTAGTAAATACACAGAGAATCTCTGTCAGTAGACACAGTTTAAGAATTTTCTGCACTTCCATAACTTCTGTATGATGTCCTCAATATTGTCTAAATCTTTGCTGATGTTAACTTTATATATTACAGCCTTTCTCACAGTCCTTTGTATTTTGGTTGCCTCTGACTGTTTTTCCACACTTTAGATAGATGCCTGACAGTCATCTTATGAAAATTTACTGACCTTTTTCACATACTTTCCTTTTTTTTGTTTGTTTGTTTCAGTTTTGACCCGTACTTTTTCCTTTCTCTGTATTTCTTAAGGGTGTTTTTTTGTTTCCTCACAAGTCCAAAGAGGTAAATGTCAAAATCACATCCTCCTTTTTCAGTGTTGAGGGAGATACAGTCCTGGTTGAAACTGGGTACTTCATATGCTGCCAAGAATGTGGGTATACAATACTACAGTGGTGTAGACTTTGGATAAATTCTGTTTTCTCCCACTTAGAACTTACTTAAAAACCAGAATTTTAAAATTGGTTTTGTTCTCCCCACCCTCCTCTGCAGTTTTTCTCTGATTATTACTTTAAGAACCAGCCAGGGCTGGTGGAAGTAAACTAGCAAAGTTGTTTGATGTCTAAGATCTGCTGCAGGAGTTTCGCACTCCCAAAGTTCTCTTATCCTTGTAAGGATAAAACATATTTCTATCCTTGTTCTGTTCCTGAATTTCTTCAAGGTAATTTTAATTCTGGCAGTCCATCTTCTGATTCTCCCATTTGGTCTTCAAGGGTTGCTGATTTTAACTTAGGTTGCCTTTTTGTTACTGAGAAAAAATATTTCTTCCATTTTCCAAGTGAACTGTCAAGTGAAAATTTGTGTTCATCATTTGACTTTTATTGATAATATTTAACCCTCAACATAGATTCTCCTTGTGACTCAGTTTAAGATAATGTGATCCGAAGTCTTGGCATTTACAACTTTGTTCTGACAGTTTGTCAACCCAAACTTCTGCCTGGAGAAGTGTGTTCTCATCATGTGTTCTCTGTTAACCTCAATAACCTCTCCGCCCAGGCTCCTTTCTTCACGCTGTGAAGAAATTTGGTATATGGTTGAGAAGCCTTCTGTAATCTGCCTGAGACCTCTGAGACCTCCATTATAGGAATAATATTCTTTTGCACGTCCTCTTGGTTTTCTATGTCGTGTCTTCACAAATGTAAACATAAAAGATACTTCTGTCAGAGATACATAGGATTTTCCATGATAGGTAGGATGTATATTCAATAGTTTACATGGCTGTCTTTCATTTCTCTTGCTTTCATATGCTTCTAATGGGAACCACTGCTTCTTGGATGTCTGGAATCTATTTCCAACTGTGCTGTTTTGTTTACTGTGCCCAGTCTATAAATTACTTCTTTCTTTTTTTTCTGAGTTAGAATGTGGGCAACCTTGTAAAAATTAATTTTCTTTCTCCACAGTAATTTCTTGTTTAAATATTTTTCAACATATTTTAGTCTCAAAAATGCTTTTAGTGAGTTTTAACAGTAACAACAATGTAAATATCCTGGAAACACTCAGAAAGTTTTGTAGCTGGCATATAGAAAAACATAATAGGTGGTTTCTTTGTGTTTCACATGCATTCATGTCTGAGTGGCACACTGTTATATTGTCAGTAATAGTGGTCATATGGTTGAAGCTTTTCAGGTTTACTTTTTATACATGTGAAAAGAATCACATTTGTTTCCAGAAACAATAGCACAGTATATTTTCTGGGCTTTGGATTAAAACCACTTGTCTGTAGATTTTGGTGTACTGTAAAGTAGAGGATATGGTTGTGGATTTGGTTGTGGACTGTATCATTTAATCCTTCCTTTCTTTGTAAATCCATATGCTACTTACGTCTTTCCACAGTTACATTTCCTTTGCCTATGTCCCCAACCAATTTCATGGATCTTGTTTATATTCAGTGTTTTCTCTTGAATTATGTATGTCTTATTTATTTTTCTTATGTAGTCATTAATTTTTTTTACCCAGTATGTAACTTCTTTTTATCGTATATTGTGCAGATTTTTGTTTTACTTCTTGTCTGTATCACTTTTTATAAACAGTTAAGTATCACTTTCTCCCTCTAATTCTGATGGCTTCATGATTTTCTTCTGGGCAAACAATAGTTTTTATACCCCAAAGATATTTGACTATGAATTCTCAAAGTACTCAAGTTTAACTTTCCCATTTCAAGGTGTAACTTAATTATTGCACATAGACTGAAGAAAATGTATGTTTCAATGTATGTTTCTGTTCACTCCTGCCTCCTGTCTTAAACAGATGGTGGTTTCTGCCATTTTGTACAAAAAGGGCTTAAACATGAATCAGTATCTCCTCTTTGCATGTGAGCCCATTGAAGACTTAACTTATTTTTCTGTGATCTAGTTGGTATTCTCACTAATAGAACAATGCCTTAGGTAGCAGATTTTGAATCTTTTTCCCGTATTGTCACTTTATTGTTTAGTAGTATTGAACATTGTTAAACATTTGTCACTGAATAATTAAAACTTTCTTTGACAGACCAAAATGTGATTTGGAAGTACCAAAATTTTTTCTTCCATTTTTCCTTTTATCATTACTGCAAGTTTAATTTGCAAAACAGTAGTGTTCACTATAAATTTATATTTTGATCATATCCATCCCCCTATTTCTCTCCCATATGTAAGTTTCAAAATGCTATCTAAATATAATCAAAGAAGAAAAGTATCAATTCAATAAATGTATAACCTGAGAAAAAGATATATTCTAGAGAAAAGATATATTCTATGAGAGCAGTTTATCAGATATTCTTCTACCTTAGCTTTTTTTGAAACATAGATACTGACCTTATAAGCTCCCTGTATAAATTATGCTTTACAGGCAGTTTTCAAATAAAGCTGATGTTAACTGGCAGAAGACCCCGTGTTCCCATTCTGCTGTTGCTTTAGTAATGAACTCTAATCTAGCATCCAATATTCCTATATGAGGTATGCATATGAATAAAGAATAGCAGTTTGATGACCAAGACATGAAGTAAATGTTTGGAGAACTCGGCCTCATTCCAGTTTTTTATGAGTTGAAATATTTCATGTGTGAATCTCACTCTTCTTTCTGGATATGTATGTCTGATGGTCTAGGAGGCAGTGTCCTTTGAGGATGTAGCTGTGAATTTTACCACAGAGGAGTGGGCTTTGTTGGACCCATCCCAAAAGAAGCTCTACAGAGATGTGATGTGTGAAACCTTGAGGAATGTGGCTGCTCTAGGTAAGGAAATCATCTGTTTCTTATTTATGCAGAGAGCATTGGTTATTGCTTATCAGTGCAATTTACTTTATTGGAAAATGGAAACAATGGTTCTTTCTGGTAGGGTCACATTATACTATGAATGTAACTGGAATCTGAATTTTTATATAATGTACTAACTGATCATTAAATTTCTTTTTTCTACACTTTAGAAAGAACCTGGGATGATGAAGAAATTGAAGACGAGTACAAAAATTGGAGAAGAAATCTAAGGTAATTTGCACTCATAAGAAGGAATGTTCTTAAGAGTCCATGAAAACCAAGCAAATTATAAAATGAGGCAAAGTTGCAATTTCTTTAATCTCACAATAGTTCTCCAAAAATGCATACAGGTTGAGTACCTATAATTTGATAATCAAATATTTGAAATGTTATCCTAAATGCAGATAGTATTGACATTATGTCACAAGTGCCATTGTCTATGTAAAAGAATAAATTATTTCCCAGTCTCAAAATTATAAAACGTTTGTATGAAATTGCATTTACGAGTATATAAAACAAATTTTATGTTTAAATACACATGTATTTTCAAAAGACCACATTCAGGTGGGCATATTGGCACACACCTATAATCCCAGGAATCAGTAGTCTGAGGCAGTAGGATAATGTGAAGTTCAAGGGCATCCTGGGCTACATAGTGAGTTCAAGGACAGCCTGAACTACACAGTGATAACCTGTGTTAAAAAAACAAATCAAACAAACGACCAAATTCATCTCAAATGTTAATGTAAGGAATTCTGTATGTGTATACACATTTTGTATTTTCAAAATTGGTGTCCTTATGAACATATTGAAAATCCAGATGTATGCTACTTTTTCAATAATAATTGTTTTCAAGCAAGAATCCAAAGAATTCAGTCCATTCATGTTACAAAATATTAGAAGGTAACATTCCTTAATGTTGATTGGAATGTCATTGTAATGTAATATCTATGGAAATGTATGTAGAGATTCCTCAAAAAAATAAAAATAGGAATTCCATTTAATCCAGCTATAACCTGGGCATATTCCCCCCAGAATTAAAGTAAGCATACTAACTACATTTATGCATGCATATCTTTGTCTGTAGCAGCACAACTTACACACAAGCTAAGTTCAAGAAACTCCTAGATGCCCATTCACAGATGAGTTGGTTAAGGAAATTTGGGATAGCCTGAGAAAGATGGTACATGTGTGCAATCCTAGCCTTCTGCTAAGTTGAGGCAAGAATATCATACATAAATGCTCAGCTCGGGCAACTTAATGATTGATAAGACTATTTTAAAATACAAAATAAATAAGGCCAGGGATGCAGCTCAGTGCTAAAAGCCTGGGTTTAATCTGCAGCACTGAAAAATTTATATACATAGAGAATGAAATGATGTCAATTGCAAAAAAATGGATGAATCCCAAGTCAATAATATTATTATATAACTCAGACACAGAAATTTCATGTGTTATATTTCATGTGTTATATTTAGTATGAGAAACCCAAAATAAATGTGAATTAAGGAGTAAAGTAAAGCAAAGTGTTAGAAGAGACAGACATTTTGGAGTGGGTGAAGAGACTCAGTGGAAGGGGAAGAAGATACAGTCATGGAAGAAAGACTATACATCAAAATATTTATATATCAGTCCTTAGCAAAAAAATTTTATGTATTGCAAACATGTCAATTACAGACTGGCAACTGGTATTACTATTCTGGTAAAAGCTTTTTCAGAGTGTACCGAAAACTCAAGATCCAACATTCTTCGGGGGCATCAAGCCAGATCTCCCAATAGACCATTAATAAAAACATACTTTTAAATGTTATTAGTTTTTTCTTATTTTATTCCTTTACAGCAGTGAAGAAGTAGAAAATTGCTGTGAATATGAATTGTGGTATCAACATGGAGAAATGGTTTCCTGGACAACAGATACCAATATGAACCTGAGAACAGCTAGTATAACACCAGATGAAAGCCTTTGTTCTAGAGAGCCCTTGATTGCTGATTCATCACCAAATGTGCCCATCATAGCTTATACTGGATTCAACTCATATAAGTACCAGGAATTTGAAGAGAAGCTCTCTAACTCTAACAAACATGGGAGAACCTGCACTGACTTTCAGTCCTCTCAGAAACATGCAAATGCAAATCCTGAAGAGACATACCATGACTATATGCATTATGAAAATTTGTACTCTGATTGCACAGAAGAAACTAACACAGAAGAGAAGCCCTTTGAATATGAGCAAAATGTGAAAGCCCTCAGTACACCTACCTATGTTCCAATCTGGGAAAGCAATCACAGTGGAATGAACACCTATATATGCACAGAATGTGGAAAAGTTTTTACTTCTCACTATTTGATGCAGATACATGAAAGAGCTCACATGGGCAAAAACCTCTCTGTATGTAAACACTGTGGGAAGACCTTCACTAATAGCACTTCATTTAGTAATCATCAAAAAACTCACACTGGGGGAAAACCCTTTGTTTGTAAGCAATGTGGGAGACCTTTCAGGACACACAGCGATTGTCAAAGACATGAACGAACTCACACTGGGGTGAAACCCTATGAGTGTAAATATTGTGGAAGAGCTTTTGGTACGCGCAGTAATTGTCAAATACATGAAAGAATTCACACTGGGGAGAAACCCTATATATGTAAGCTATGTGGAAAAGCATTCAGCAGGCACAGTAATTGTCAAATACATGAAAGAACTCATATTGGGGAGAAACCCTATGTCTGTAATCAGTGCGGGAAAGCTTTCAGCACACACAGTGATTGTCAAAGACATGAAAGAGTTCACACTGAGGAGAAACCATATGTATGTAAGCAATGTGGGAAAGCTTTCAAGACACACAGTGATTGTCAAAGACATGAAACTACTCACACTGGGGAAAAACCCTATGTATGTAAGCAATGTGGGAAAGCATTCAGCAGGCAAGGTAATTGTCAAATACATGAACGAACTCACACTGGGGAGAAACCCTATGTATGTAAGCAATGTGGAAAAGCATTCAGCAGACACAGTGCTTGTCAAATACATGAAAGAACTCACACTGGGGAAAAACCCTATGTATGTAAGCAATGTGGGAAAAGTTTTAGCAGACAAAGTCATTGTCAAATACATGAAAGAACTCACCTTGGAGAAAAACCCTACGAATGTAGGCATTGTGGGAAAGCTTTTGGCACACACAGTCATTGTCGAATACATGAAAGAACTCACACTGGGGAGAAACCCTATGTATGTAATCAGTGTGGGAAAGCTTTTAGCACACATAGTAATCGTCAAGTTCATGAAAGAACTCACACTGGGGAGAAACCCTACTTATGTAACCTATGTGGAAAAGCTTTCAGCACACAGAGTAGTTGTCGAAAACATGAAAGGACGCACAGTAAGGTTAAACCCTATATATGTAAGCATTGTGGGAAAGGTTTCACAACAAAGAGATATTGCCGAATACATGAAAACTCACACAGGGTAGAAGTGATTTGTATGTAAGTAATATGAGAAAACACTCAGCAAACCCTGCAATTGTGAAAGCCATAGAGGAACACACTACAAAGAAACCAAATCTATGCAAACAATGTGGGATAGCTTTCAGCACACACAATGTCAAAGATACGAAAAGATTTCACTGGAGATTAAACCCTATGTATTGTAAGCAATAGGGAAACTTTCAATATATACTGATATTGTGAGACATGAATTATAAAGTATAGATGCTATGTATTTAAGCAATATGAGAAAGTATTGCTTAAATATTATACTGGTAATATCAAAGACTTTTAAAACGAAGCAGAAGTGAATTTTGAGTATGTGAAGTGATGTGCACTGACCTGAAAACAGAGGAGAGAAATCCTTTCGATGTAAGCAATATAAAAATTAACCCTAACCATAACTTCAATAACTTCTCAGGCCAGGCTTCTTTTTTCACTCTATCATGATTTCACTGGCTCTTGCTGAATGACTGAGAGTTCTGCTCCACTATACCTGAGCCTTCAGTTACGGGAATAGTATTCCTTACATGTCTTTGTTTTCTTTGCCATACCTTCTCAAGAATAGCATAGAGTTTTACATCATAAATAAGGGTATTTTATCACTTAGCAGTTTGCATGTCTGTGTTTTCTTTCTCTGAGTTTCTAGTCTGTACTCTTCCTGATGTCCAGCATGCAGTCAGACCACTGCTTTCTGGTCGTCTGGTTTCCTATTTGCAGCTCTTCTGCTTTGTTTACTATGCTGAACTGTAGAATGTGAGGAAGCATACCTGACTCTAGTGTCTTTCCACATAGTAATAATGTATTGTTTAAATTGTATTTCCAAAAGAGTTTTTGGTGAGACTTAACAATAATAACAATATAAATATCCTAGGAACACTCCAACTTTTTTTAACTTGGTCTTGGACAGTGATTGACAGTACCCAGTGAAATCCTATATGACTTATTCTTGTCTTCCCCTTGATTCCACTATCACTTCCTTTGCTCTTTTTCCTAACTGTACCATATGTCATTTTCTCTATTCAGTGTTCTTTCAGTTTTGAACACTTGAATGTTGGATTGGTGGCTACTGTAGAAATTGTTCAGAAGGGCATTGTCTGTGGTTTTTTGTATCACAATTGCCCATGTCTGAGTCAGGACAAAGATTTCCTCACCCATTTTAGTGATCACATGGTTGAAGTTTTTTTCAAGTTTATTTTTTATAGATGTAAAAATGATCACCTTAGGCTGGCGATTTAGCTCAGTGGCATAAGTGCCTGCCTTGCAAGCACATGGTCATGAGTTCAATCCCCGGTACTGATTAAAAAAAAAAAAAAATGATCACCTTTGTCTCTAGAAACAGCCACACAAAACCACATTTTCTGGACCTTGGATTAAAGCCACTGCTCTGTAGACTGGTTCTCCAGATGGCTTGAAGTGTGTTATTTCATCATTTATTCTGTCATAAGTCTATTTCGTCCTAGACTTTCCACCATTCTATTTTCTTTGGCTAGTTCCTCAACCAAGATTATAAACTTTGTTTATATTTGGTGTTTTTCCTTGAATTATGCATGTTTTATTCATTATTCTTATGTGTTCATTGATTTTTAACTCTATTGTATACTGTAGAGTAAAAAGTTTAAATTTTCTTCTCTTTTACCTCTTCTTTACATAGACTTAAATTTCTCCTAATTCTAATGACTTCAGGATTTTCTTTGGGGGAAACAGTTTTTTTCACATCCAAATGATATTTCACTGAGTTCTCCAAGTATTCAAGTTCATCTTTCCCATTTCGAGATGTAACTTTCTTACACATGGAATATGATAAGTGCATGTCTCAATGTATGTAATTGTTTGATCCTGCCTCCTGTATTAAACAGAAGGTGTTCTCTACCATTGTGTACAGTAATAACACAACATGAATTCATATTCTATTCATAGGTGAGCCCACAAAATCTCTCTACTTATAGATTGTGAATCTTTTTTCTATATATTAAGCAATGTGTTACCTTGTTTACTGGTTGTTGAACATTGTAAAACATCTGTTATATTGAACAGTTAGAATTTTTGCCTAATCAAAAATGAGATTTGGATGTGACAAAAGTATTTCTATATTTTTTCCTTTTGTTAATAGTTGTTAATGCAAACAGTATTGCTGTTCATTACATTTATATTTTGATCATATCCAGTGCCCTATTTCTTTCCCTATGCCATCTTAGAAAATTTTTCTCTGTGACAGGTGACCATTTTTTGTCCTTGAGCTGTAAGACAATAAATCTTTCTTGATCTAATTTAATTATTCTTAGGCATTCTCTAACACTTTTTATTGACAGTTTAAATTGTCATTCATTAATTTCCCCTACTGCTATTTAAGATTTTTCTATGAAACCAGGTTCAGATTTCAAAATACTGTTTAAATGCAGTTTGAGAAGGCAATAATCAATTCCCTAAATCATAAGTTGAGAAAAGACATTTTCTATGACCTGGCAGAGCAATTCGTTAGGTATATTTCTACTTGAGTTTTTTACTTGGATGCCGATCCTGTACTAGGATGCCCCTACCAACCATGATATATAGATAGTGTACATAGAAAAATGATGTTAACCAGTAGGAGATCCAGCAGGTTCCATTCTGCTGTTGCTTTATCAGTGAATTCTAAGCTAACATCAAATTCCTGTGAGAGATGTATGTTTGATAACCAAGACAAAAGTAACGATTGGAGAACTGAACCTTATTTCAGCTCATCCTGGCATATTTGAGATGTTTAATGTGAGTCTTAGTCTTCGCAGATATATATGCCTGCTGCTTTAGGAGGCAGTGACCTGGGGGGATGTGGCTGTGAACTTCACCATGGAGGAGTGGGCTTCATTTGATTCATCTCAAAATGAGTTCTAAAGAAATGTGATATGGGAAACCTTTAGGAATGTAATGTCTATAGGGAAGAAAGAGTCTTTTTTTTTTTTCCACTTATGTGATTGGGAACATTAGTTGTTGCTTATCAGTGCAGTTTCCTTAAGCGAAATATGCAAACATTTTAATGACTCTTCCATGCATGTTCACATTGTACCTTGAATCTAAGTGGAACCTCTTAATTTTTATGTAACATAGTAATTCATTATATTTCTGTTTCTATACCTAGAAAGAAACTAGGATGATGGCCAAATTTGAGTATAAAAACAATGCAGGAGATATCTAAGATAATGTGAAGTCACAAGAAAAAGAATGTTGAGTCAGTATGTGAACAGAAGCCTTAAAACCAAACAGGCTATCCAAACTAGGCCATATTCAGATTTCTTTGATCTTGCAAAATTGATCTGAAGATGCAACCATGTTGAGCCTGTACATCCTGAAATCTAATATTTGAAATATTTCAACATTTACAATTTAGGAAGTGCTAATATTTGGCACACGTGACATCTGATATATCAGAATAATATTTTCTAAATTCAAGTTGTAAAAATGTATGAAATTTTATTTAGACATTGAGTAAATGTGTATATAATAAAAAATACTTTATCTCAGGAGCTACATTAAGGGTTTGTAGTTGTATAAACATGTGAGTACTTTCTGGAGAATACTTTCATACCAAATAATTTATGTAAGGAGTGCTAGATATATTTAAATGTGATGCAGTTGTATGTCCTCAACTTACAGATGTGTTCCATTCCAGGAGAATGTTGGTAAATTGGAATCCTTTCAAAGTCCAACAAAATGAATCTTGCACATCATTGACATAAATATAAAATGTAAAGTATGAAAAAACCAAACATGAATGTACATTAAGTCCCTCATACTACTATACTATTGTACACTGTCATACTGCAGACTAAGCACAGAGCAGTACAACTGTAAAAACATCCTACAGGCATGTGAGCTACTTCTGTGGTTTGTTCACATCTCTGAATGTTCATAATGCAAGGTCCTTTTGTACCTCTGAAAACACACAGCTCAAATGTTCATAAATAGGGGGCTTAATACACACATTCAGTATTTGCAAAATTGCTAGCCTTGTGGAAGTATTCAAAATCCAAATGAATGTTACTGTTTTGGTAATAGCTGTATTCAAATAATCCACGAAAGCTTTCTATTCATTCATGATCCAAAATATTAGAATACATCTTTCTCTACTGTTGGTGTAAATATCATTTTGACATAGCATCTATGGATATGTGTATAGAATTTCCTCAAAAAATTCATCTTATCAGCTATACTTGTGGCTAAATATTCTGCAACTTTAAAGTAACTGTTTTATACATACTTGAATACCTATGTTTGTAGCAGCAAAACTTACAATAGCTAAGCTCTGGAAACAGGATAGATACCCATTCACTGATAAGCAGCTTAAAAAAATATGGGATATACTAGCCACGATGGTATGTGTTTGGAAACCCAGCACTCTGGGAAGCTGAGACAGGATATTGACACATTCATGTTCACTCTAGGCAACCTAATAATTGACTCAATTTCAAAGTAAAAAGTAAACAAGGCCGACACTGTAGTTGACTGCTGAATCTGTTCAGTCTCCAGCACTGAAAAACTGTTGAGTAAATATAATAGAATTAAGTGATGAAGAAATGACGTCATTTGCCAAAAAATGAATAGTGTGACTCCATGACATGAAAATTTTGTTAAACACAAAAATTTTAATAACATATCATATTATGTAAAAAACACCCAAAATATGAACAGAGAGGTAAAATAAAGGAGAGATGGTCAAGAAGAAAGAGACAGACATTATGCAGTGATTGAAGAGTTTCAGTCAAGGGACTGGGAGGTAGACTCATGAGCGAAGTGTATCAAAAATAAACATGTATTAACTCCTCAAAATACAAGTGCTATGTTTTGTAAACATCCATTATAAATACTCACATGAAAACTACTGCTTTGATAAATGGTGCTTCCAAACCATTTTCCAGTGAACAGTAAATTAATGATGTAATATTTTTAGGAAACATCAAACCAGATCTCCTCCTGGTAAATCAGCGCTGCAAAGACACTGTTAACTGTGATTTGTTTTGTTTTGTTTTGTTTTTATAGAAGTGAAAGGTAGAGAAATGCTGTTGATAATAAAATATGATATTGACATGGGAAAAACAATTTTGGACTCCAGATACTATTGTATTGTGCACATGAAAGTCACTGTTACGAGACTTGTCAAAAGCCCTTGATTGGTCTTCATCACCAAATGTGCCCATCACAGCTAATACTGTACTCAAATGAAATGAGTATCAGGAATTTCAGGGGAATTGATCTAATTCTAAACATGGGGAAACCTGCACTGACTTCAGAAGCATGCAAAGACAAATCTTGTGTAGAAACTATATGAATATAAATAATGTGGAAAACTGTACTCTGATTGTACTCAATAAGCTAACATTGAAGAGTCTCCCCTTGCATGTAAGCAAGATGTGAAAGCCTTCAATACACCCAACTGTGTTCCCAATTCCAAGAAAGACATCACAGTAGAGCAGATGCCTGCATGTGTATACAATGTGTGAACAGTCTTACTTCTTACAATTCTCTTCACTGTGGAGAAATACCAATGCATGTAGACACTTGAAAATCGCTAATAGCAATTAACTTGTAATGTGAAATAACTCACACTGCGGAGTAAGTGAAGTGGGAAAGCTTTCTGTAGACAGTATTTGTCAAATATCTGAAAGAATTTACTGGGGAGAAATGCTGTATTTTTAAGCAACATTTGGGATGCATTTGATGCACACTGGTGTTGCCAATTTCCAGAAAGAAATCACAATAAGGAGCAATCCTGTGTATGAAAGTGAAGTGGGAACAACTTCAACTATTACAGTAATCATCATAGACATTAAATAAAAGAGGAAATTAAATTAAAATACCTTCCACGAACATAAAAAGATTTAAAAAGCAGAGAAGGTTTTGCTATTAAAGCAATATAAAAAAACTTCCTGTACACACAGATGGCACTACTTGAAAGAATTTATAGTGAAGGTGATTTGATCATATGTGAGAAATATGGGAAATGCATTGTTTTTCTCAGTGCACTCCAGTACATGAAAGAACTCACAGTGCACAAAAGCTATATGTATGTAACCAACGTGAGAAACTGTTCAAGTCTTCCACTTACTGTTAAATATATTAAGGGACTCAACTGAAGAGAATCCTATATAGATAACATGAGAAGACATTGCAAGATTCCAGTAACCTCAGAAAATATGTGGAAATTAATGGTGAGAGTTAGTGCAAATCTTGAATGTGAGAAGTCTTCATTTCTACATTATCTTTTATACAAGCATGGCATTGCATATCAGAACAACCCAGCTCCTTGGATATTTTGTGAAAATACATCTATTGTCACTTTTGTTATCTGTATTACAGACAACATTGTGAGAAACTATTAGGGCTGTGCACAAGTCTTCAGTTATTCCATATGTAAGTGCATATTGGATCAAGTCCCTGTGAATGTAAAATTTTCAATTATAGCATATGATTTCAAAATCCTTTGCAAATTTCTCACATAGTAACAACCTACAAGCAATTCATTAAAATATGATGTCACCACCAAGAGGATATCCTCCCACCTGCACTGCCTTGGTGGGTGGGCAGGGTCCTTGGTGACCCTTTGCCCTACCTGGAGGACCTCAGCAGCTAGTGGGAGCTTTGGCAACCCCACCCCCATACTGCAGTAGCTCAGTGAACTGGAAAGAACATCAGCAAGCCATCTCCCCACCCACAGGACCCCATGGGCAGGCAGCAGTGTAGATTTTTCCCCCCTTAAAAAGAGGATCTCAGTGGTTCAGTAGGAGTCTCAGTGACCCCTCATCCCACCCAGAGGGCTTCAGTAACAAGGAAGGGCACAAGTGAGTTCACTCCCACCCACAGGATGTTGGTGGGCTAGTGAGAACCTGGGTGAGCCCCTCTTCCACACAGATGAAGTAGGGTGGGCTGATGAGGGCACTGCTGAGGCTGCCATCCTCCCGGAGGAGCACAGCTAAGCCTAGAAGAACCCCAGTTGCACAGCTAGGGCACCAAAAAATTAAACTAAATAATATCAAACAAATTAAAATAGAACAGAGTCCATCAAAGCAATGAACATGGTACATAACTTTAAAACAAGATATAAGGATATCAATAATGGCTACCATGATGCCTCTTGTTACCTTCAAAAGAATTGCCCACACCATCAGGCATAATAAAAAAAATACTACAGAATAAAACCAACGAAAACAAAATAATGGAAGCAATACAGGACTTCAAATCAAGATAATAGTAAAACCACACTGGGGACCATAATACATTTTGTTATCTTCAAAGTACTTGCCTATACCACCAGACATGATACTCCTAAGAGTAAGGTCTCAAGTTGCATCCATTTATATATAAATATGGCAATGTGGTCATTGTTAATACCTGAGTAGTACTCCATTGTATAAAAACACCACATCTTTTTTATCTATTCCTCAGTTCATGGGAATTTAGGTTGTTTCAAAGACCTGGCTATTACAAATTGTGCTGCTATAAGCATGGTTGCACATACATCACTGTGGTATGTTTTCAGTTCTTCTGGGAATATGCTCAGAAGTGGGATAGCTGGGTCAAATGGGACCTCCAATCCCAGCTTTTTGAGTAACCTCTGAACTGAGCCCCACAGTGGTTGCACCAACTTAAACTCCCACCAACAGTGCAGAAGAGTTCCTTTTTCCCTGCAGCCTCTCCAGCATTTTGGTTGGTAGTTTTCTTTATCTTGGTGATTCTGTCTGGAATCAGATGGAATCTCAGTGTGGTTTTAATTTACATTTCTCTAATGACCAATGAAGCTGAACATTTTTTCATGTATTTATTTGCCATTTGTATTTCTTCATCTGAGAAGTGTATATTCATCTCAGATGCCCATTTTTGATTGAGTCTTTCAATTTTGGAGACCTGACTTTTTTAAACTCTATATGTTCTAGACAGAAGTCCTTTGAGAACAGTTGACTAAGTTTTTTTTTCACTAGGCTGGAGATTTATTTTGACATGCAAAACTTTTTAATAAGATGTGACCCCAATTACTGATTCTAGGAAGTATTTACCGTGCAGTATTATTTTGTTCCTGAATACTCTACCTACCCCTCCATCTTCAAGATTTGTATGTACTTTATCTTCCATCAGATGTAGAATTCCTGTTTTGATATTTAGATCTTTGATCCATTTTGACTTTAGTACATGATGATAGGCATGAGTCTAGTAGTAGTTTTCAGCATATGGAGAGCCAATTTTTCCAGAACCATTTATTAAAGAGACTATCTTTCTTCCAGAGAATGTGTTTGGCCCTTTGTCAAAGATAAGGTAGTTGAGTGTGAAATGGTGTATTTTTGATTGAGCCAGAGCAGGTCCAGAAGGTCCAAGTAAGTTAAATGACGAAGTTGCCCAGATGCCCATGGCTCCTACTCTTGCTATACTGTCTTCTGTTTCCCAGCATGTATCTGTGGCTTTGTAGGGTATCACATATGCTCAGCTATCAGAAGAAAAGAAGCCTAAGCCCTGGTTTACGGATGGTTCCACACATTAAACAGGCACCACCTGCAAGTGGACAGCTTCTGCATTACTGTTCCTTTCTAAAACTTCCCTGAAGGACATTAGAGAAAGGAAATGTCCACAGTAGGTAGAACTTTGGGCAGTGTACTTGATAGTACATTTTGCCTGGAAGGAGAAATGGTCAGACAGGCAACTGTATACTGATATAAAAATATTTGTATCTTATGTAAACACCAGAAAGGGAATTCAGACACTATGGGACTGGCAACTGGCCCAGTTGGAGGAATTCAGGTGATTGGCTCTTCACCCTGCACACTGCACGACCTGGAAAATGGCCCAGGAAGATCCCAGGTGATGGATTGCCCCCTGCTGGATCAGTGCAATCAGGTGACTGGGGAAATGCCAGCCACACAGTGGGCCAGACTAGGGTGCACACATTAGACAGGCAGGACAAGCAGCATGGAAAAATCTCAAGCACCATTAACAATAGGAGCCAAGAGGTGGTAAAAATAGGTGAACCAGCATTGTTCTTGGAACAAAGACCCATGGAACAGAAGCAGGTGTGTGGGGCTGTCCCTTTTCTTTCTTTTTATTTCCTTTTTTTTTTTTTTTTTTTTAATCCTTCATGTTTTCCCTTTCCATTTTTTGGAGACAGGATCTCACTATGCAGGTCAGGCTGGCCTTGGGCTCACTTTGTAGCCTAGACTGGTCTCAAACTTGCAAACAACTCTCCTGTCTCAGCCGCCCTAGTTCTGGGGTTACAGGAGCGTAACACCATGCTGAGCTCCTTTTCTATCTGTCCTCATACCCCAAACCCAAAGACAAGTTCAGATAAATCCTTCCTCACACCTTCATTCTTTCTTTTTTGCCCTCTTCTCTAGGTTTCCAAAGCTTGTAAGATCATTTTGTGTTCTACAGCCTTGCTTCTAATTCCTTTTCAGTTAACTTTTCTTTTATCAACTATCTTTCTTAAATTTCCCCACCACAAGGTAAAAATCACACTACCAAGGGGAAACGCTTTGCATACAAGCTGATAATTTATGATTGGTTCCATTACATAACTATAGATTTTGCTCCTATGGCTTAAAGTACCAAAGTGATTGTTACCACAGTTTGTCAGTTTCTAAACTCTGCTTGATGCCATTGTTAGTGTTAATTATATTACTTGAGATAGGATAACACATCTATTGTAACCAGTTATTCTCCCTTCTGTAACAATATTGGAAAGTTCTGGGGTAATACTCTCATCACAGTGCAATATCAAAGGACTGGGGACCACACCAAACAGATAACAATATTCTACTCTTAAGTAATTAGAAAGGTAGGATCTCAGGACAGACACATTCCTGAAAAACAGGTTTCTGAGAGAGACCTAGTGATGTAGATAAGCTTACAAGGATCAACATAGAAAACAAAATAAAAAATATTTTGAAATAGAAGACACAGAAGCAAAATGTAATGTCAGAGGCTGGGGATTTAGCTCAGTGGCATAAGCTGCTGTCTGGCAAGCATAAGGTCTTGAGCAATCCCCAGTACCCAAAAAAAAAAAAAAAAAAAAAAAAAATGGCAATAGAAGTAAAGAAGCAAGTCCATGAGACAGTAGT